AAAACATGATATGAAAAGAGTCATAGAAGACCCTTTTACTTTCTGGCTTGGACCTCTAATGTTCCTTCTTTCCCATGACCTTATTTGTACATAGGTTCAAAGGTATTTGTCTGTTTTATTTGCTTATGTAACCCAGGTGCCCAGAATAGTATCTGACATACTGTATGTTCCACAAATAGTTGTTGAATGAGTGAATTTACTGTTGCCTTCCCAACACCTCTACAGTCATTGGACATAATAGGTCTCAGGTTCTATGTGTTAGGAAGTAAACTGGAAGGTTGTGATGATTATGAAGCAAACAAGAGGTTTGAGAACAGTGATCTTACTGGTTTTTTCCCCTTTATTGCATATCCTAGAAAGTTCTGCTTGGAAGATAGAAGGTAATCAGAAGTCTTCTCAGAAGTCTTCCCACATTGATGTGCAATTGCAGTCTTCTTTGGCTACCACAAGTAGTTTTTCAGTGGGGTGAACAATCTGACCATCAAGAAGAGTCTATGTTATTATATCAGTAGCTCTACAGTAATGAGGGCCATTAAGGCTCAGTCTTCATCAGTAGAGGAACGAAATAAGGAAGGAAAGAAGGAAGGAAGGAAGGAAGGAAGGAAGGAAGGAAGGATGGAAGGAAGGAAGAAAAGAAGAATGGAAGGAAGGAAGGAAGGAAGGAAGGAAGGAAGGAAGGAAGAAAAGAATGGAAGGAAGGAAGGAAGGAAAGAAGGAAGGAAGGAAGGACGGAAAGAAGAAAAGAAGAATGGAAGGAAGGAAGGAAGGAAGGAAGGAAGGAAGAAAAGAATGGAAGGAAGGAAGGAAGGAAGGAAGGACGGAAAGAAGAAAAGAAGAATGGAATGAAGGAAGGAAGGAAGGAAGGAAAGAAGGAAAGAAGAATGGAAGGAAGAGAGGGAGAGAGGAAGGAAGGGAGGGAGAAAGGGGAAAAAGGAAGGAGGGAGGGAGGGAGAGACATCCTTGCTTTCTAAGAATGACTGGATGCCATGCTTCATGTGCGATGCTCTTCTAAGGCTAGATTGACTGATGAGTGAAATAACAGTCAGTGCTTGAATCTTTGGATCCTTTGTCTTTTCAGACATTTCCAGAGAGTATTTTACACAACAGAGGGTAAAGTACAGTTACCAGGGAGTGTGAGGGTGCAGCTCAAAGTGGCCTGGCATGAAAGAAAAATTTCTTTGAAAACTACTACTTTTCTTTGTGTGGGCACTTGGCAAAGCCTTTCAAGAGCAAGTTCAGCAACAAGTTCTGAGCTTCGGGGAAATTCTGGAATTTTTTGGTGCTTGCAGAGAATAAAAAACACTTGACTTTTCCAGACTAATTGTTCTACTTATTTCTTGGGCTCTATGAAAGTCAGAAGAATGTTTGAAATTGGGAGAAGTCCTTCCAAGGAGGTATTGAGCTCAAATTGAGGAAGGTCACTAAAGCATCACCTTAATCATTGGTTCTACCAAAGGGTGCAATTCAATCAAGCTTCTTCCTGTATGGAATCAGATAGATACAGCACTCTAACTCAGTAGTCTTAATAAGCTAGTCAATTTGGCATGCTACCAGATGTTCTCTCCTGCACTCCCAGAAGTTGCACATTTGTATTTCTAGATGACTATTGATATGCCAGCAATAGCCAATGATGCTTGGGATCCTTGTATGGCAGTAGATTTAAAAGCTCTCACAGTTCTGATTACAGTATCAACCTCCCACCAAAATCTTTCACAGAATCTATTTTCTTATTCTTGTTTTTTTTCTTCATTGTCTTTTTTTTCTCCTAGTTTCGTGTACACACACACATGCACACAGGAGACAAAAGGAGTGGGGATGGGAGTGCATGAGGCTTGAGGTGCCCAAAAGCTAGATCTGTGGCTTCTTACTCCAGTTACCTGTGGGAATCGCTGATTTAGTTGTCTGGGACAGGGCCAGTGAATCTAATAAGGATCTTGGGTCGAGATCCACTAGTGTCACGAAGAAAGCCCTTGAAAGCCAGGATTAATCATATGTACTTCATGCAATAATCAATAGATAAACAAAGGAAGTTTTGAGGATTATAGTGAAATAAGATCCCTGTGTGAGACATCATCTGAAAACACTGTGGGCAACAGGCTTTGGAAGCAGGGAAACTAATGGAAATTCCTATCTATCTTATCGGGCCTAATTCAAACAGCACCTCTCTAAGCTTCCATTTGAAATCCATTTATTCCTCCCCATAACCTCCTGCAAGCTTTTATTTCTTGGTTGCTGCTATTGCCAAATTCGAGCTCATATTTTCATTGCTTGTCCATTTGTCTGCTATCCCCTAAACCGTAAATTTGTTGATGGCAGGATGAGGACATTTTCTCCCTCATTTTCCTAGGACAGTATCAGAGTTCTCATTGTGTAAGTTTTCAGGGTCATTATCAGCATTTGCTTAATTGAATTAAATAATATCACATTTGTCTTCAGAACCATTAAATGGATAATATTCACTGAGATTCAGTAACACAGCAGGTTGTAGGTAGAGCTGGAGACAGAATTTGTTCATTCCAATATGACATTTACTAAATGGTGGGATAACTAGTAAGAATATAGGGGCAGTACAGTTTCTACTTGGAGCATGAACTCTTGAAGCAGACATCCTGGGATGGAATCCGGCTTAGCAACTTGCTAACTGCATGGACAAAGAAGGCTAAGGCTGTGTCAATTTTCCAGAACAGCCAGCTGTTAGTCCTTTGGGCTAGTTTGTACATGCCGTTAGCTCAGGAAGATACTCATCCCTGAAGGCTCCAGCCTCAGCCCCAGAGTTCAATATGGCTTTAATTACATTTTAATATTTATTACATTTATATTTGTTTATTATTTTATATGTATTATTTATATTTACATAATTTATTTTATATCTATTTATTTATTATCTGGGAACTCCATAATAATGTTAGATTCTTCCTACGTCAGGTAAATATTGGCCCAATGTCCTTCTCTTCAAATCTACTTAAAGGAGGATCAGATGTACCAAGTTGTTTTTCCATCTGGAGACTAGCTACAGAATGAGATTTCAGATTCCACCATTTGAAATGTTAGCAGGAAAGAGGATTTCTCACTAGCACAAGCAGATTTTATTTACTATTTCTCTCGTTACATTAGGGTTTTCTTGGGAGTGGGATTGTTGTGGGAAGTCGTTGTAGGAGGCAGAAATGAGTTCACTGGATGCTATTCTTACCCACAAGGTAAACGCTAAACTTACCCACAAAGTAAATGCTATTCCACGTGGGTCCGAACCATTGCAGTGGTAATTACGGCTCAGCCTCCCATATATGCTTCCCAGCCTCAGCGGTGTCCTGTTTGTTCCACACCTCCCCGTGCTCAGTTGCCCTCTAAGTCTGACTTTCTTGCCTTCACATATCTTGGTTCCATCTTTTAACTCAGTGTCAATCTGAGTTAGTACTCCGGCCTTGCAGTGTTTATATTAATATGTACCCAAAAAAAGAGCCTCACAGGATGCTGACCCATGTCACTGCCCTTCACCTTCACACTCTGAACATGAACACAAGACAGCCACGAGCTGGGACTGAACCCAAGTGCATCACTGGGTGAACCTCTGACCAATGCCTTTTCCTTTGGAGAAGACCCAGTTTTCAAATATAAATTCTCTGTGAACGCTTGAAGCCTGGTATAGCAAGTAACCCATGTGCAAGATCTCTATCAAATCAGTCTCGTCTGCAGGGAACAAACTAATATAAGAGCAATGATCATAAGTTTTATTGCTTCAATTTCTTAGTACGACCTGAAAGAAACTGCTTTGTAACTCCAAGGACAGGAGTGCCTCCCACAGGCTGATATGTGTACTATCACCTCCTATTCTGTGGCGCTTAGCTCTTCAGATATTCTACCACCTGAGACTCTGCATACACAGAGGAGGTTCTTGATAATATCTGTTGTGGAATAAATAAATTAGAAATTTATCACACTTTCCCCTAGAGGATCTAGTGGCCCTGTCTTCTCCCAAACTCATATCGTTAATAGCAATATCAAGAAATCTGAAATAAACTTATTTCAAATATCCCAGTCTTTTGTACTGACCACAGAGACTAAAGGCATAAGGGATTTCCAAAAGAAATAAGGCAATAATTAAACAAATATAGAAAAATAGTCCTCTCTCCAGCAATAATAACAGTTCCAGAATGAAAAGAAAATTGGAAATACTTTATAAGACTCATGGGGACTGAGACTAGAATTACAATATCAGACAGGGGAACTGAGGTGAATAACTTTTCTCACAAATTAACCATTATTTCTACCGATCCATAACCTATCTCTGAAGATAGCAAGTTCTAGGGGACTCTGTAATGGCCTTGTCACTTGGATTTTCTCATGACACAAAGCTCAAAATAGCACCAAACATGTTACTTGGCCTTCAAGAAACCACTGTTTTCTACCAACCCTTTAAAAGTAGGAATCTATATTTCTTGGCAAAGATCAAGATCAAAGATCAAATGAAAGATTCTTAGCCTCAGGTCTAGACAACCCCTCACCCCCCCTCTCTCACCCTACCAACTCTAAGCCATATGTGAGCTCATCTCAACGATAGATGAAACTTATAAATGAGTCTCTGGAGCCTCTATGAAGATTAATGCATGTTGGAAGGTATTTGATTTCTGATGAGAAATGTGGAATTGATCCCTACAGCTGAGTGTATTTGGATATAATTAAATGAGAATCAGAGAGCTTCTCCCTGCCAAAACTTCATTTTTCCCTTTCTTCCTTTCTTTATTTTTCCTCTTTATATACGTTTAGTTTTTCTGTTTCCTTGCTTTTTTACATCCACACAATTATCAGTAGTTGCTTGCTGAAATTCATCACCCACACTACATGGTGGCAATTGGGAGAGAAATTACATTCAGTGAGATGATCTAGCACAATTTCTGGCACACATCAAATACTCAATACATGTTACTTTTGCTTTTCTTCCCTTTATGAGCTGGGGTCTAATAGCCATAATAATTCATCAAATATTCAACTAAAGAACAACTGTGTTGCATGTAGAGTTACACATATGTTATATAATTTTATGTTCTAGTCAAAGATTTAATATAGACATTAGTCACATACATTTTAAAAATATACACCAATTTATTATGTTTTACATGATGTAAAATATCTATAGTGGAAAAAAATTTATTTTCTAAAACTCAGTGAAACATCTGATACATGCCTAATGTGATTGGCAGGGTGAGGAGTGATAAAACTGCCACTTGAAATGCATTACCAGCTAGTAGGTAGCAATCTTACCTACTTCAAAGACACGTTACAAAGACACAATATTAACTGTGTCCCTCTGTGGTTGTCCTTTGATGAAAGTCTGTTCTAGTTTTCATACTTCCTTTTGTCCTTCAACAATCACATTCTGGCAACCTACTCTGGTAATTAAAGTTGAGTTCAAGGAAAACAATGAAATTCCATATTATTCCTTCTTTCCATCCTTAGGTTCTGCCCTTTCTAATCTAGACTTTTGTGATCCACACAGTCAAACTGAAGGAACGTCCCCTTCCCAGGTATCCACACACATCCCAACACAATTTAGTATCTCATCCTCACAGAGTCCAAATACTAATCAGCAAGATTCCTGTGCTATTGTCATGAAAATGTGTACCACTTGTTTTTTTTAATTCAGTAAAACTACTGTTTCAAATGTGAAGCCAAGTGAAAGAAAGATGAAGCCAACATTGGTCCTCCTGAGGGACTGTTTTGGAATAAAACTTTAAGGCCTTCCACTCAATTCAAATTAATAGGCCACTGTCTTCTGCCTTCATTAGGAAGAAACAAAAACACATAAAATAGTACCTGGCATGATCAACGGTACTTAGTCACATGAACTTTTGTTTGGGTTTACTGCCTTGCCTTCTGAGAAAAATAGATATTTAAACACTAGTTTATGATGATGAAATTAAATTTTACTTTCACAAACATAAAAATTAAGAAATGTCATTTTTAGCAAAAACTTCAAATTAAAATTCTCTCTGTGTTTCATTATTTAATTTCTGGACAGCAACAGAGGTAAGAATTTTTAATGTGATTTATATCACCAGAGAATCTCGTTTTCTTGAAAAAGGACCTTTTTAACATTTTAAGGTAAAAAATACCATAAAATAATCAAGATCTGCACATCATAAGTAAAACCCTTCAACTATTATTGAAACATAAGTATAATTACACCCAGGAAAAAAGATATTATCAGCAGAGAAAAGATGCCTTAAGTACTCATGTTGTTTTACAAAACTGATGGACATGAGTGAGCTCTAATGTCATTATGTTTAGAAACAGCTTCATCCAGATCCAAGTGTGCACCATTAATGTTCACTTCCATGCAGCCATTATAAAAGGCATTCACTGGTGTTGCATTGAATGGAACATCTGTAAAAACAGAATGTTAAAATATTAGCCCAAGACTTTTAGCATCGCATTTGCTTACAGTTAGAGGAATTATTCAGACTTCCCAGTTCCAATCAAATTCCAATCCTAAAGAAAAAGTTAATAATGAAATTCTATTTAATACATTTATATTAAGAGACTCCTATGTATATAAGGCATTGTGCTTGGCATTGAATTCAGCATCCACGAGTTCCTCTGATTTCATAAACACACTCAGTTCTATCCAAACTTAAGATACACACATTTAAAGAAGAGTAGAAAAATGCATATTCTTACTTATTATGTCCTACTTCATTATTGTCTCCTTAAATCACCAACAGTTTAAGCATTGTTAAATCATTTTTTCAACTCTAAATTATAACTACTTGGAAATCTTTTTTAAATGCCATGATAAATATCTCTTTTATTGTTACTGGAATAAAAGCAAATTTCCAAAGAAATAGTTTCTTGCTGAGCATACAATGACAGGTCACGATGGGGAATTCATTTTTATGTAATGTTTGGTGTTCTAAAAATAACAATTTTAATAATGCTTCAGTGAATAGTTTATGGCCTTTGGACCTTTCTACACTTTGATTCTCTTTATCAAACTTAATACTTAGGTAAACCCTTGGATTACTAAGAACTATGGTTCATCTTAAAAACATCCATCTCTCTATTGTTTTTTTCTTTTTTTGTCATCTCCTCTCCATGAAATTTTAATTCCCAATGGATATTCTTCAGCCCTTATTCTTCCTCAGTATCTTATGTAAAAATATATATACTTTAAATTTTCCACCTCTAAGTTGACAATACAGTGAATCAAGTCCGTACTTTTCTGTGGGCTCATAGCATTTTTTTAGAAAACCCTTTCAAGTCTGGCCGAGCATCATAGATTATGCTCCTATAATTTAAAAAAAACTCATACTCATCAATTTCCCCTGATTTTTAATTTATAACATGAAATTTAACATGCCTATTTTGCATATCAGTTATAATTTATTCATCCCATAGTTTACACTCTTAATATCTCCATTTTCAGTTCCCCTTAATTTTTCCTCACTCTTTTTCTACATACATCTTACCTGAAGTCAGTCCTTAGTGCTGTGGTCAAAGTCCTGGAACCACTGACATTTTCAGTTTTACTTCTTTTGAACTCTTTCATTGTTTGTTTGATTGCATAAAATTGCATTCAAATAAAATTATAATTCCTAATATTTAAATTAATTCCTGCTAACTTAACTAACTTCCCAATAATCAATCATACTAATTTAACTATCTATGTCTGTCTATCTATCTATCTATCTAAACTTTGTAGCCTATTTACTTCTATTCCCCAAAAACCCAGAGAAAAATTCCCTATATAGGACATGAAGTCCCTGATCAATTAATGTAATATAATGAAGGTTACAACAAGTCCAGACATTAAACTCAGAATTCTCCCCGTGAGAATAACCTGCAAATAGTATTTGAAAATTCTTTTAAAGAAATGTCTGCCTCAATTTTTGCCATTTAAAGTAAAATGTTTATGCCAATTTCATATTTTCCAATATTAAGCTAAAGATAAACCTGCTTTTCCTCCAGATTTTCCCACCTTGAGAAATGAAATCACCAAGCTACTGCTCATGCCAGGTTCCTTAAGATATCCTATCCCTGCCTTTTGATCATTAAATCCTATTAATTCTGTTTCTCATATATGTTTCCAATCTGTTTACTATATACCATCTCCACTGCCATCACCCAAATCCAGCAGCTCCCTCATCTGTAAAATAGGGATAATAAAAGCATCTACCTCACTGAACTATTGTGAAAATTCAATGATCTGATATATTTGAAGCACTCTGAACACTTCCCAGACTGTTTATTATGCACCAATGGATGATAGTATAGTTGTTGTTTCTGTTATTAATGCTGCTTCTTCATCTGGACTTCAGGAGCCCCCAACTCGTCTCATCCATCGCCCGCCTGTCCATCTCTGTCCATTATACACAGTGGATTTCTTTTCTTTTTTTTTTTTTAAGTTTTTATTGGGGAATTGGGGAAGAGGAACAGACAAGTTGCTGTCCTTTTGCTCTTTGATCTAGTTGTAGAGGATGTCGCTTCACTGGCCCATGTTGGCATTATCATTGTGCTCTTCCTGGGTGAGGCAGTCACTCACCAGCCATTGGACGGCTGCTCTCGGTGGCTCATGGCAGCTCACAAAAGCACACGCCTGCTGCTGGCCAGCCCCACTGCAGCCTATGCCATCGCAGGCAACTCACGGCAGCTCAGCTCCAGGTCGAGCTGTTGTTCACCATCTTAGCTGTAGAGGGCGCACTGTCTCTGGCCCTCATGTGGGATCCGAACTGGGGCTGTGCTGCTCAGAGCTGGCATCCCAAGCCAACTCCTAACCAAGGTGCCACTCGGCCGGCCCACATGGTGGATTTCTTAAACTGCAATACTGGTATACAACTTCCTTGTCTAAAACTTTTTAAATAATTTTCATGGCTCTTAAAATAAGACTCAGGACCCTGAACCAGGTCTACAAACCTCCTACCCTCAACCCCCACCCAGTTCACAGCCTCATCCTGCATGGCCATCCCTCGTGCTCAATATGCCTTCACCACACTGAGCTTCTATATATTCCTCAAGCAGGTCAACCCCTTCCCATTTTTCCCACACATGGACCATTTTACTTGCATACCCATGCCAGTACCCACCCTCACCACCTGGTTAAAATCATTTAATCCTTCAAATATCAGACTTATATCTAGTCTCTTCTTCAGAGAGCTTGCTTCTGGACCCCACAACCAGACCAGAACAAGTCCCCATTTTCAGTCTTTAAAAGCAACTCATAATTTTGCCTCATAGAAGTTATGACAATTTTACATTTTTTTGATATTTTCCTAATCCCTTGTTTAGTGTCTGTCCCTGCCACTAGATTGTAAAAGCCATAACAGCAGAGGTCATATCTGCTTTTTAATTACTATTCCCCTAGTGCCTGCCTAGATGTAGGTTCATAAGAAATACTGGGTGTTTGATAGATAAATTGAATCAATATTGAATTCATTAAAACTACTGAGAGGATAAAACGAAATAGTACATTTTTTCTGGCTAGAATAGCCTAATGAAGAAAAATTTGGTAAGTTTCAGTTCACTATAAAAAAATAAAAATAAAAATGTACCAATAAAATGTCAATATGAGCCCTCAAAAAAAGAGTAATGAATACTGGGACTCTGTTTTCCCTCTGATGCCCTTTTACTAAAGTTACATATTTAAAATAGCATCAATTTGATTAAAAATATATTCAGTTTTTAAAACTGAAGAAAAAGTAAACAGATACCTGGAAGGCCACCCAGGTAAGTGGCCACAGTGCCTTCCATTGCTTTGTCCAAGATGGCAAATTGTCTTTGAAGGTCTTCAGAGTAGATGATATCTTTTTTACCTGGAGTTGACAGCTCCAAGGATTTTCTGTTGACTCTGAGTTCCAAATGGTATTGTTCACTGGAACACAGATTTATAGCCTCTATCCGAGATATTACCATATTTTCAACAGATACAAGGATATCCTAAAAAACAAGCAAAGACTCAATGCAAGCAAGTACCAATAATGCCACTTAAGAGTGAGTTTGAGTTTTTGAAATTCGAAAACTGAAATTCAATGAGGAGAAAAATGTATGACAGAGCCCCCAAGTTTCAATGAAAAAAAATCCCTAGTTATTATCATAATCTTAATTTTAGAATATGCATTAGTTTTACAAACTTCAGGTTTAGCTAAGATATAAATGTATGGAGAGTGAATTCTGAAAATTCAATAACCAACAGAGTTGTACCAACAATGGGGACCTAAAATAGTATCTTAAGCAATATTTTTCTGTTTATAAGCCTTCTTAACTTCAAAACTTGTACATGCAAAAGGAAGGAGTTGAATTACTCTTTGTTGGGGAAAAGACATGGAAATTTGAAGTGTTTTATTAAGCACATTCCAGCAAGACTGAAAGGATTTTTGTGCCACCCAAGCAATCCTATAGACTTGGAACAAAGTGAATGAAGAAGCTCCGGGAGAGAAAAACCAAGGATCACCAGAAGTAAATTACAGAGTATTTACCAGAAGATTCTCAAAAGAGAAAATATATTCATTTTGGTGAACTTTTCAAACAGCTGATACACAAAATTACTCAATTTGTTGAGCGCGATCTATGCATGCAGCTTATATGTGTGTAGAGGAAGTGTTTAACATAAGAGAGAAAATAAAATCAAAACTAAGAAATCTATGTTAACTGAAGTCTATTCTTCACAAATGCAGGTTATTTGAGGAAATCGGTTACTCTGTTATACATTCCATATCTTTGAACTCATTAAGACTTAAAGATGGTCAGCTGAGAAAATGTTCCATAATGATCAGTAGTATGTGGAATAATATGACAAAACACTACACAAATCTTGAGAAAGCAATCTGACATGCAAAAAAAAAAGGGAGCTATGGAGACAAACACAATAAGATAAAATAAATACCAAAGANAAAAAAAAAAGGGAGCTATGGAGACAAACACAATAAGATAAAATAAATACCAAAGACACAGCATGAACCGCCACTGCATGAACATAGTGTTAAAGATAGGAATTCCATTTTGTTTTAAAAACAAAACAAACAAAAGGCTGACATCCAAATGTAATAAGCTTGGTAGATTGGAGATAAAAACTCAGCAGAATCTTTCTAGGTTGCTTATGATTAGCCACCAGAAACTCCCCCAAGTCATCCTTTAAGTTGCAAACAGCACCCCTTTTTATTACTACAGGCATTATTCAATTACGTGTCTCTTTCTAAAGCTGCACAGAGCATCCAAGGCAACCTTGGCACCAAATAAGTTCCTTGCTTAACTTGGAATCCACTACAGATGACACATGGACTGAACTAGCAGTCTCTAATAGAATGCTGAATAATACAGATCTTTTGATAATTCTCGTGTTTCTTTTATCCGAGAGTTTTTTGTTTGTTTTTTGTTTTTCCTGTTCTTCCTCCTAATTTCAAATCAGAGTTGCCAGCAAGAAGCCAAGTGGACTCCTTTTAGCTTTCTCTAGTCTTTCCTAATGTACTCATAGGAGAAAAGATTAAGTGTGCCAGAAAGCACAAAACATTATAATTCAGCACTGAATATCTGAGAATAGATTGTAGTCAGGCTCACTTCTACTGTGTTAATACAGACTAATTCCCATGATACCTCAAGGATTGTGAACAAGGGTGGATCCCTATGTGCTCTGGGAAGGCTCTAAGCAGCCTGTGTGTGAGTGCTTAATCTTAGCTATAGATGCAATGGGTTTTCTCAATTTCTCCCCTTACTTCTTGGTTCAGACCATGGAAATAAGCCAGCAAAAAAGTAACAATAATGGACATTTATTAAGTCCTTAATGATGTGCTAGAGATTGCGTCAAATACCTTACATCAGTTATCTCATTTAATCTTCAAAATAGCACTTTGAGGTAAATACTGCCATTATATCCATTTTACAGATACAACAACAACAACCAAGGATCGTAAAGGTTTAGAATAAAGTTACCTGAAGCTTTTCAGAGGTGGAGTCCACCAAAGACAAGGCAAAGGGCACTGTGTTACCAGAAACCAAGGCAAATATAACACCAGTGCCCGTGGATGGGCGAATATTCAAGGTCACATTTACTTGCCAAGCCTCATGATTGGATATATTATCTGTTCAAGCAATGAAACATAAGCAGGATCAATGTACTCAAAGGAATGATGACAATCTTATTAATACTCTAAGCCATTTTTGTGTAATACTAGAGATTTTAGATGTCTTTTCTCAATGATCTATATAACCTACATAAAACAACACAAAAGAAAAAAAATTAATGCAGGCAAGAAACACCTCAGTGGAGCCCTGTCCTTCTGTTTTTCCTAGAATAGATTTCTGGATTGTGGTCTTTAGGATTATTACAAGTTTTTCATGTTTGCTCTTTAACAGCTCTTCCTTCTGCCCTGCATCAACTCTCAGAGTGGTCATATTTTATAGTACACATTTAGAAGTTCAACAAATTTACTATAATATTTCTGAGAGAAAATTTGAGTATAGCTGCCGCCACCACCCCACCACTCCTCATCCATAATGGGGTCAGGTTAGAGCAGTGGGAAGGAAAAATATGGTTTATGTAATAAGGGAGTTGGGTAGTTTGATGGTAGAGAAATACACTGAAGTCAATAGTTAATTCTGACATTTGAATAGAAACACTTTGTGATTCTCTTGTCATAATACCTAACATTCTTTTTCTTAATTACCAGGTTAACTGTCTATCCTACTAGGTACAAACTCTAGTCTCTACTATCACTTTTCCACAGTAGTCACTCAACAAATATTTGTTGAATTAATGTTTTTTAAAATAGTTTGATTCCTTAAGATATTAGTTCACGATATGAATGAAGTCTTTTTCATTTAATATAAAGTTAATATATAACAATAGTCCCAATACCACTTGGAGGCTTTCAAAAGATAAATATGAAAAGAGAAAATAATTTTCCTTTGGCAAGATGTTCTTCCATTTAGCCATATCTAATGCTATTACATTTTCTATTAAAATTCTCTAATTCCCACCCAAGAGAAAAATATATATTATATATAATTATTTTGAAATAAGTAAATTTACTACAATATATTAACAAAATCAAACTAAAAAAATATGTAAATAAACAAATTATAACATAATATTAAATATAAATGTAAAAGTAGGTACTTTCAAATTATCCATGAAAAACTAATTACTTATGAAAGTAATTTTTCAGACACAATATAATTCCTACTTCCATTTTTTTCTGAGGTCTTTTTTCCTTTCAACAAATTATTATGCATCAATCATTTGCCTATATTTAGTCATCAACACATTTTAAACTTTTAAAAAATTCTTCATATACAGAACAGAGCTAAAGTTAAAGATACTATGTTAATTTATGTTAGAAAAACAGAAAGTACTAGTGTAAGGTTCTTTTTTAAAACTGTAGTAATACTTTTTTAGGCTGCAAATACACACATTTAGAACATAATTCTTTCTTAAAGCAGAGATATTAGAGTAACACTAAATTTATAAGGCAAACCCTTAGTAGCTCAAAAAATAAACTCCTAAAACAGAAAAAGACAAAGGACCCAATAAAATAATTAAGATATACCAAATGAAGAGATATTTTCAGTAGAAATTGGGATAATAATATTTAAAACTATATATAAGATTTACTTTTTCAACTGATTGGAATCAAATCTCAAGCATAAACTTACTTCTGTTGGTAGAAGTACAAACTAATAAAACATCTTTGGAAGGGAATCTGACAAAACAGTTAAGAATTATACACTTGCATATAAACTCTGAGAGAAATAATCTAAGATTCTCTCCTACAGAATTAATTACATAAAGGTACAGAGATGTATATCCAAGGATATTCATGCAAATATTATTTGTAAAGGTAAAAACCTGGGATCAGCTGGGTAAGTCCACGTAGGCTGTAGAAAGCTGGAAAGGGCACTGCTCCCACCCTTACAACAACATCAAGAGCCAAATTATCTACATAATCACAACTTTTCTTGGACTATTAAAGAACTAAGATTTCAGAGCAACTAACTAGAAACCTAAAGAAAGGTGCTTCCAAGGACAGACAGGATGAGAGTACTCTATACAATTTGGTAAGAAGAATTTAGGTAAAAATTTTAACAACTTGCTAAAGTCCCAGTGGGAGCTGGTGAGAAGGTTTAGAATTCCTGGGAACTGAAGACACATGAGAAATTCATACCCATTCAACAGCTCTTCTTCATGGACCTTGTGAGTGCTTAAGAGAAAAACTGGGGGCAGAAAAAGAGATTAGAGAAAGCTTCCTTCCTAGTGAAGGTCTGGGGAGAGGAGCAGCAGCCTGTAGGAAAGGGACAAAGTCCCAACCAGGTCCTGCTCTGTCTCCTCTATGCAACAAAAGACTAAAGCATTGGGGAAAAGGTAGCAAACATGTCACCATTAGGACACATGTGAAGGCCCATCATACCTACAGATTAGGGAAAAGAAACAAGAAAAACAAACAAACAAAAACCCAGCAACAGCAAAAGCAATCTACCATGAAGAAGGAACAAAAAAACATCTTGAATCCTAACCATTAGATATCTCCTCTACGTGTGTGTGTGTGTGTGGGGGGGGGGGGGCAGGGAGAGGGACAATATAAAGTTCACATCCTGAGACCCAATCTAAGACTGAATCTATACAAGATCAATAGAGAATGCTCTCCTGCCCCAGCCCTCAACCTTCAGACCCCTCTAATATGCTAGCAAATGTCAACAAATAAAAACACTCTGCTGGGTGAGACAAGTCCATGGTGAGATACTTTCTTAAGGCATAATATCATAAAGTGAATACCTAAAGTTGAGGATGGATCAGCTATTAAAAAAACCCTCTGGCAAACCATCTACTAACCTAAGCACAAGGTAATATTAAAGGAATTTGAAGAGTAGTTACAGGAACAACAAAACCTACACCACTCAGCTCTTGACTAGATTGACTCAACACCCTTCATTAAGGACATAGCAAAAGAAGAGGTATGCTCATTTCCAGATCTAAATATTACTTATCTCAGCCTCTACTATTCTACTGTACATAAGATGCCCACCTTTAAAACAAAAATTATGTGATACAGAAGGAAGAAAGGAAAAAACCAACATATAGTCAAGAGACAAAGCAATCAACATGACCAGACTTAGATATGACACATGTTAGAACGATAAGGGAATTTAAAATAATTATGAGTAATATGTTGAAGGTTTAGTTGAAAACAGTGGACAATATGAACAGATGACAAATTTCAAGAGGTGGAAATTTTCAGAAAGGATCAAATGGAAATGCTAGAAATGAAGGTGAATTCTTTTGATGTATTCATCAGTAGACTCAATACAACTGAGAAATTGTTGAACCTTATAATAGGTCAATAGAATTTACCCCAAATTAATCAGGCTATATGCCAATAATCTTTAAATAATAACATAAGTATATTCAACTACTTTTTCCCTCCAATATATGGGGAAATTTTTATAAAAAGTATATAACAGTATGAATAAACCTAACACTGCATGGCATGAAGTAGGTATTCATAAGGAATTGTTGCTGTTTGTCAATGAATAAATTTAGTTATTAATGAGAAAAGAGAGATAAAATGGGAAATCACTTACTATAATCTATGCTAAATAGAGCAACTCCAGAACCAGGATAGTAGGAACCCTTCTCCACATTGACAAAACAATGCTTATTTTGTTTTTCTTGAATAATTTCCTCTACTCCTGAAGCGCCTTGATTCATCAAATTCCAGCCTCGTATACAACCATCTAGACGAGGATTAATCTAACAAAATAAAATATAGGTCAAGAGTGCATTTTTAAGTTAAACAGGTCAGACTGATAGTGGATTAATTGATCATATATATATATATATATTTGTTGATTAGAGGGAAAACCTTTTTTTATGACATTCAAAAATATTTAAAATATTTTTAATTTTATCTAAATTTCTCTTTTCAAAGTGTCTTTCAGAGGGATGTCTTTTTCAGTAATACTGAGTTTATGCCATCACAGGCCTCCACTAGGATCCTAATAATTTTTAACACCTCAGACCCTACCTGCCTTTTCTATGCCATTCAGGGATAACTTTTCTACTCTCAAATTCCATTTATGCTTCTAGCTGTGGCCCTGGGCTGTACGTGGCTTTCTATTTTTTCTTTAATTGCATTTACCACAGATTTGTCTTACCATCAGACTCAAAGCCTCTTCAGGAACTAAAGTGTTTGCATTCTTGAGCCTCACCAAAGCATCCAGCCAGACTGAAGACATGTAGTAGCCATTTCATAAATAGTTGATACTTTTTGAATAATTCATTATTTATTATGTCTTGATTTATTGCTTTCAAAGGACAGGTATATTCACTCTGACATGGGTTAACTAATTCAAGTTTTATATCATATTGCAGAAATCATTTATAATAAGTTAAGGTAACTGAATTGTCATGAGTGAAAGATGGATATAATTGGCAGGTCCATGACTTCAGATAAAATTTTTAAATTCTTTAAGGACAATGATTAGTCCCCTTCATGAAACCTATTCCAGTTATTGGACAAACACCATATTTAGAAAATCATCTATTATATTTAACTTCAATTTATGACAGTCTGCAGTTGTACTCCCAGCAAAGATTTCTTAGAAAAAAAAAAGTTCCACCTTATGTACTATTCTTATCTCCCATATTTAAGTCCTAAAATAGACCTAAGAATATTCTGACTGACTTACAAAATAATGTATTTTTGGATTCAAATATAGGTATTTTTATATTTAATGGCTAAGTATGGACTATTATGATGTTAACATTGAATTGATGCTTGAGAATTTTTAAAAATCTACTCTCCATGAGTAATGCTGGGAATTTAAATGAGCTCAAAAACACTACACTCATTTCTTATTTCCTTAATATAGTATCAAGGGTCGCTAATGTTATTTTTCCATGTTCAAGTTGTCACAGTTGGTATATCACAATTGGTTGTCACAGAAGTTAATAACTTCTTTTGACTCTCAGAAAAATACATCTTCAAATCCATTACAAACAAAAGGAATTCATGCATGATGAATGATATTAGCTTGGATCATTACCGGTTTAATGAGTGTGTTCTCCATTTTCTGAGGTAATCCTGCAAAGTATACTTTGGTTTCTAGAAATCCACTTGTAGGCTTGAAAATGCTCTGGGGTTTATTTATATTCATTACTGCTTCTTTAGCTATTTTCACACTAATACTGTGTTCTAATTCTTCCACAGAGACCTACAATTAAAGAGACAAAAATTATCAAACAACCAAATCTCATTACATGTTGCTTGAAATACTAAGATTGAAAAATCCTGTTATTGTTCCAGAATATAACTTCCAAAGTAATCACTTTAATGTGATTATTAATTTGTTCCAATCCATTTGAAATATCAAATGATTATAAAGGTGATAAAAATGTGTTTTAAAAGGATCATACTTGATTGAAAACTAAATAACCATATTTTAAAGTTAAAAATATCAGTTATTCTATTAAATTTAAACATCCAATTATAATATGTGTCTTTCAATCCGGTATGCCATAAAGTGAACAATTTTTTTAAAAAGTGAGTCACTCTACAAAAGTCTTAGAAAACTTTTAAGTGTTCTTACTTGGCAATTGTCTGATAGTATATATATAAAATCAATAATGTAAATAAATTCTTAATCTAAATTAAGAGAAATCAGTACATCCAGCATTCTGTTCATTAAACACAAATATTTTATTTCAAAATTCAAAAGTAATTGAGGTCATAAGGAAGCACAATACATTAAATTAAACTATTATTTTTCAAAAAGTAGTTTGGGTCTTTAAAAAGAGGTTGGAAGTGATGGCAAATGACAACAAAAAAACACTCCTATAAAGGCAATTTGAAGAACCACTGTTGCAATCCCCTTGTAAAGCTGTAGCACTCAAAATACAAACTCTTCATTAACTAACCATTAATGGAAGCCAAACAATAAGCACATTAAAGCACCACAGCAGGAAAAGGACAACTATGCTCTAAAGTAAAATAAATGTGTTAACATGTACAGATTTAATCAGTGTACACTGTCCTTAATATAGCCAATCACATCATTTTACCCTAATGACTATTCTCTCCTTGGATAGTGTCCTAATAGCCTCCAGGACCTTATTCTGGCTTGGTTCTCCTACATTCTTACCATTCCTTCTCAGGCTTCTGGATCCTCCTCTTCTTCTCAGTCTCTATAATAAGCCACAGAACCCAGCCTCCAGACCTTTTCCCTGTAGCCATGCAAGTATTTCTAAATGGGCATTCTATTGCTCCACTCTAGGGCATTTAGAAAATTTGGGGTTGGAGAACACTTTTAGATATCACAATGAGTAGGCAGTATGCTGACATTGCAAGATGCTAGACATCGAAATATGCAGAATAGTCATGCAAAATAAATAATAAAATACTCAGTATCCTGCAACCTCCTGAACATCCCTACTGGGTATTCATGTAGGGTATACTCATGCTTATAATTATCTGAGTTTCTGTATATATAAACACAAAATATTTGTTGTACCATGTTGGTATTCACTGAATTTTTTCAAGAATTTAAGTCTTGTAAACCAAGGATGGATTGATGCTTGCCTTGTTTGGATCTTTACCAAGAGTTTCCCACCATTTTGGAAAATTACTATTACTGATGGCAACATCCTTTACGCACTTAGGGTAGTTCTGTTGCCAATACAACACCTAGCATGTTTCTTCATGTGTAGCTTTCACATTATTATATGTACAGAAGAAAGATTTGACAAGTATTGCACTTGAATATTTATATTTTGAAATATATATTATTTTATTATAAATTACTTTCCTTCATTTATATAACAATTGGAGCATTTTATTGGTTTCTATTAGGGATATGTGAAGGCAGTTTACATTATTGATGCATTTCATTATAAGACAGTAAAGGAACATTATAAATATTTAAGCATTGGCTTAGACAGAGTTTAGAACCACAGGTTGACATACCCAACCTCATGGCCTTTAAATCTCTCTTTATGTTGACTATTTAAAAGTTTATATCTACCTTGAAGGCTTGACCTTAAAAATATATCTAGAATCTGACCACTTCTCACCACTCCCACATCAATACTCCAACCTAAGCTGCCATCTTCTGTCCACTGGTTATTGCAAGGGTCTCCTCACCCCATATCCTGTTCTACCCTTACTCCCTACTATCTAGTTTTCACATAGCCATGAGGTCCTAAACAGGGTTATCTTTTAAAATGCAAATTAGATCATGTCACATGTTCAAATCATCCAAGATCTTTGTATTTGGCATAAAATCCAAGTCCTCACTATGTTCCTCAAGGCCCTACATTACGTTATTCCAAATCACATTTCTGACCTCATTTTCTACTACCCTCTCCCTCTCTCACTCTATTGTACCTACACTGGCCTTTGTGTTGTTCCCCAAACATAGCTAACACATCCTCTTGTAAGATTCTCCACTTGCTGTTCATGTGGCACAGAATCATCTTCCCCACATATTTCTCATGATTTGTGGCCTCAAGTCTCTGGTCAGATGTTCATCAGAGATGGCTTTCCTGATTCTATATGCACACACACCATCATCATTCTCTATTGCCTGACCTTGCTTTTCTTATTCCTCATAGTATTAATCACTATCTGACATATATATTTCTTCATTCATTTGTGGTTTTCATCTCACCACTAGAATGCAAACTCCATAAGAGCAGTGATTTTGTTTTACTCACTGCTGTACCCTCACCACCTAGAAGAAGGAATAGCACATAAAGTACTAAATAAATATTTTTTTGAATGAATAAAATTATGATATTATAGATTTCCCCCCAATATTAGTATTAAACACAAATATGAGATATAATCAAAGAGCAATACTTATTTCTATGGGTTATAGCCATTCTAAGTACTTAATAATTACACATTTCATTTAATTTATCTGCATTATAAAACAATTCTAAGGTATACGTTTTAATTTTAATTTCTTTAAAGTGTTTTATTTGAAATTTTGAAATAGTTTAAAATCAGTAAAACGATTGCTATCAAGTAAATAGCCCAGTTTATAAATTAATTTAACTTAACAATTTTGTAGATTAAAATGCTTACTTAAAATATTTATGTACTTGAAATAATTACTGTGCTGCATAAATCTGTTTGAAATAGTATAGTTTATTAATAAACCATCAAGGTTATAAACTGGTAAAATATCATGTGGTAATATTTTTAAAATGAAAGTGAGAAAAGAAATCTTATATGAAGGAGATAAAAATTCATACTTGTTAAAATATTGAATTAAGAATTTAAGAAAAACCACCAGCACTAAATTTATTACTAGATTAAAGTTTTACTCTGACTTATTTATTGTTCTTAAATTTTATTTATTATATAAAATTGCATTTAGTTTATACAGGGAGATTTTAATTAAAGTGTTTTAATTAAAACATGGATATTTCATTAAATAACAGTTTCTTCTTAACAAGGATCATAAACATAGAAGAAAAAAATATGCGGAACTGAATAGCTGTCTTCCATTCAGCCCAGAATCCTGCCTTTAACAGTATCATTCATGAAAGAATTCTCTAATAAACATGATCTGAAACTCATATTAACCTCACAGGTAAACATTTATCTTCTTCATTATATATATTATAGACTACTGAGACATTTAGCTAAATTCTCATTTGAACAGCTGAGATTTTCGAATTGAATAGACTCATTAGGGAAAAAAATTGTTTACTGTCTTTTGCTGAAAAAGTGATTTTAGATAGATTATTTTGGGGCATTAGGCAGTAAATTATATTCTTCAGCTGAATGCATCAAATATTCTAGATATAGATGTATTAGAAAAGACATAGTAGCAAAGCATCTAATGAGAGCATCAGGGGAAGCCAGAGAACTTTAGAGGTTTCTCTGACAGTTACATCTGATCCTCTGCAGACACCATCGTTTCAGAATTAGAAGCTCCAAATCTATGGCTGCCAATGGACAGACAGCCCCCTCTTTGGTGAACCACACCTGTGCCCAGCTGTGTTATTACTACCTCTACGCTAACGTATTTCACATTACATTGTATTAGTTCATAAGGCAGCATCAGCTCCTAAACTGTGAGGTACTAAGCTCAAGAGCAAGGAAAACCTTTTCTATAGTTCCAGTGCCTTGAACTCAAGAACTTAGCACTTTAAAAGTGCTCACTAAAAGCTTATTGAATAGATGAGTGCAAGAGTGGGTAGATAAAGGAATGAAATATTCATTGATGACTTCACATGGCTTCTCCACATGGACTCCTCATCAGCTCCCACAGGCATAGAAAGTTTCTCTTTTGGGTACCACATTCTAAGGGGAAGCTGATCTTCTCTTAGCTATCTTCTGCTGGAAGTAGCAATGACTCCACTGCAGAAAAGAATTTTCTCCACTATAGACTAGCAGCAATCCCTTCTCTGAGAAAAGTTCCATTTTAATCCAGTTTACAATAAAGGCTCACTTTTAGGGATTATCTAAAAATGTTAGTTTCTAGGCACTCAGATTGCTACTGGCTAATGTATACTGTTCATATAAATTGATTATATGCTAATATTTAAAATTAAATTAACTTTGATTTTTTTCCTATGTGTATTTTTCTCCCATTTAAAAAAAATATTGGTTATCCAGTACAGTTGTCCTTTGTCAATGGTGACTTTGCATAAACTGTTATGCCAGCTACTAATCCCTGACCTATAGGAGAGAACCATTGTTCATTCATCAACAGCCACTAAAAAGGGTATAAGAAGTTAAAGACAGAACAGTTTAAATAACTGAAAACAACTTTGGAGAAATCATAAATATATTAAGTGAGGTCATCTTTTCTCAGGCTGTTTCAAGAATTTACAGTACATAGAATATATTTCATGTAACATTCGATTAAACCCCATTTAGGTTTGGTATCACTATAAAAATAAATTACTAATGATTTTATACAAACTGCACCAAAGTGGAAAGATTCTTTATGAAATCTGTACAACATACCATATTCCATAGACCATTATTAATAACTTTGCCTCCAGTTGTGACTTGGGTTGTGTCTTCATTCTTAATCTGAATTTCAATCTTTCCATCACGAAGTGCAATCAGGAACCAAGCTGAGTGATCAAGAGATTCTGCATACAGGATAACACCTTCTGAATCAAATGTCCGGAAATCAAATTTGGCTGAAAATCTAAACAATGGACAAAGAGAGAGCCTTAATGCTGAGAAAGATGGAAGGCTCAATGTATTATTCTTTTTTCTTTTTTTATTTGTACTGGCAAACAGCAATATGCTAAAAAAAGTCAACTATTTCTGTCCCTGGAACTAATAAAAGAGGACAGAATTAGACCGTGTGTTTATTATCTCTGGCTTCATGTGTGTTTAAAATCAAGTTATTATATTTTTTTGCTTATGCTTGGAATCTTTTTCCCAGTGAACAGATGCTTTGATAATTTTTCATCTTTTTCTGGCCTTTGTTTTGAAGGCACGCTTTCAAATGTTGGAATTAATACACATGTACAAATATTCAGCATATTGTATCTCTCCTGGAGCTTTCTATACCCTGTATAATCTGATATTAAGATTTTTTTTTGCTGTATCTGTAAGTGATTAGTAAAAGATATTACAATTTCATGATTGGTTTATCCATCAAAAAGCATATTTTCCCTATGATTTCATATACGTCAGGAAGGAATCACTCACAGGGATATACAAGATAGCATCTGGATGACTGCAAACATAATTAAGCCTTCATGTGTGGTAAGGAAGGTAAAATCAAAAACTGAAAAAATGTATTCCATTAGCTTGATTTCAAAAGCTCTCCAAAACTCTAACTATATAAATCACCATACTAGAATACATGGAAGGAGAGCTTAAAATATAGTCTAGTATTAGCAAACCAAATTCAACAATACATTAAAAGGACCTTACACCATGATCAAGTGGGATTTATTCCAAGGATTCAAGGTTAGTCCAACATCCACAAATCAATGTGATATACCACATTAACAAAATGAAGGATAAAAATCATATGATCATCTCAATAAATGCAAAAATAAATCTGCCAAAATTCAATACCCACTTCTGATAAAAATTCTCAACAAAGTGGGTATAAAGAATGTACCACAACATAATAGAGGCCATATATGACAAACCAATAGCTAACATCATACTCAATGGAAAAAACATGAAAGCTTTTGCTCTAAGATCAGCAACAAGACAAGGATGTCCACTCTCACCATTTTATTTCAACAAATATTGGAAGCCCTAGCCACAGAAATTAGGCTAGAGAAAGAAATAAAAGTCAACCAAATTGGAAAAGAAGAAGTAAAACTCTATTTTCAGATAGCATGATATTATATATAGAAAACCATAAAGACGTCACCAAAAAGCTGTTAGAACTATTAAATGAATTCATCAAAGTTGCAGGATACAAAATCAATATACAGACATCTGTGGCATTTCAATACACTAATAACAAACTACCAGAAATAAAAATTAAGAAACAATCCCATTTATGATTCATAAAAAAGCGTAAAATACCTAGGAATAAATTTAACCAAGGAGGTGAAAAGATTAGTACAGTGAAAACTGTAAGACACTGATAAAAGACACTGAAGATATAATAAATGGAAAACATTTTGTGCTCATGGATTGGAAGAATTGATATTGTTAAAATGTCCATACTACCCAAAACAATCTACAGATTCAGTGCAATCCCTATCGAAATTCCAGTGACATTTTTCATACAGCTAGAACACACAATTCCAAAATTTGTATGGAACCGCAGAAGATCCCAAATAGCCAAAGCAATCTTGAGAAAGAAGAACAAAGCTAGAGGTATCGTGCTCCCTGATTTCAAACTATACTACCAAGCTATAGTAATCAAACTGGTATATTAGCATAAAACCATATACACAGATCAATGGAACAGAATTGAAAGTCCAGAAGTAAACCTACACATAGAGACAACTAATTTATAACAAAGGAGTCAAACACATACAATACAGAAAAGACAGTCTCTCCATAAATGGTGTTGGGAAAAGTGAACAGCCCATGCAAAAGAATGAAACTAGAGTACTATCTCACACCATACACAAAAATTAACTCAAAAGGATGAAACACTTAAATGTAAGACCTGAAACTATAAAATACATAGAAGAAAGCATGGGAGGTAAACTCCGTGACATTGGTCTTAGCAATGTATTTGTGAATCTGACTCCAAAGGCAAGGGAAATAAAAGCAAAAATAAACAAATGGCACTACATCAAACTAAAAAGCTTCTACACAGCAAAGGAGACCATCATCAAAATGAAAAGTCAATTTACTGCATGGGAGATAATATTTGCAAACCATAATCCAACACGGGATTAATACCTAAAATATACAAAGAACTCATAGAACTCAATAACAACAAAAACAAACAACCTGATTAAAAAATTTATCAGAAGAATACAAAAACATTAATTTAAAAAGATAAATGCACTCCTATGTTGGCTGCAGCATTATTAATTTAAGTTAAAAAGTCAGGACTTCAGATAAAGGCTAAATAAGGCAAAGAATTCCACACCCTTTTCTACATATATAACAGTTTAAATAGCAATGGAGAGGTGCCATTTGCAATGGGGCGTGGATCTACCTCAGATGGAACAAAGAAAAGGTGATAGGATGAATTTTTTAATCTTAGAATTCCAAGGAAATATTCTAAAGAGGTAAATCTGGAGTTAAGTGTGTTGGATGGATAACAATGTAGTAGAAATTTACTGAACTCAGATTATTTTATATAAAAAAAATTTTTTTCCTTAGAATACGGACTTATATTCTCTTTCATAATCATCACATCTTGCTGCTGTGAAACATGTGTTATCTTGCCAAGATCCAAATCTGTGTATGCTCAGAATCTCCCAGAAGTTGATCCTATTATGGAGATAATTTTCTTCTCTTTGTAAAATCATGCTAAACCAGTAATTCAAAGAATTGTGTTCTGCATATTTTCTTTCTGGAATACATCAGCATACTGATTCATTACACTGGGGAACAATTCATTCTTTTTCAGAAGTATTGTAGAGTGAAAAAAAAAAGTGAACTTGTTAACTTTTGGGTAGGGTAAGTATTTGATCACGGGAAACAGAGCTGAAGGAATTTGCAAAAAAATAAAAAAATAAAAAGCATTAGCTGTTCTTTGTGTTGGTTATACAGTTGGAAGTTTATAAAAATTCACCAAGCTGTACACTTAAGACGTGTAATTTCTGTATATATTACACTTCAATAAAATGCTTAAATTAAGTAACTAACAAACTAAATAAATAAATGTTGGGAAGAATAAATATTTGATCCAACATTAGAGCCCAAGCTATTGTGAATTATCTGAACATGCCCGAAGGTGTGCAATAATTATTTTTTCCTCTCTCATTCTCATTCTCATTGCAAAGAACCATTTCCTCCAATCACTATTATTTACTCTGAGATGCTAAAGGGGAAAACCAGGTCTTAGTGGAAAATGGAGTGTTGAAGGAGCATAATTCCATCAGTGAATCTTAGAATAAATTTCAACGTTCCTTAACGCTATGGTTTCTATGAATTTATATTTAATGAATAACCAATAACACATCTAATGAATTAAATTCTAAATATGCATGTTTATTTAATTAACATATTTTAAAATTTGCAGTCTATAATCACTCTAAAACATGTTTCCTTTCCATTATTCCAACAAAACTCCAATTTCTTTTATCAAATAGTGTATGGCTCTAAGGAAATTTGATAATTAAAGTAGATTCATGATTCAAAAACATAAGCAACTCCTCCCTCCCTAAAGTCAACCGAACTACAGGAATAGCACAGAATGTACTCAGATAGTCTACTAAAGTCATGTGATGCATTTCTTTAAATGCACGTAAGCAATCTTATGAATTTCTGTTAATAACTAGGAATAGAACCATATTTAAAAGTAATACTTGGGCCTGCCAAGTGGCGCGTTGGTTAAGAGCTGGCTTGGGACGCCAGAGGGCCCCGGATCCCACATATGAGAGTCAGTGACACTGCCCTCTACAGCTAAGATGCTGAACAACAGCTCAACCTGGAGTTGGGCTGCTGTGAGTCACCAGCGACGGTGTAGGCTGCAGCCCCTGTGGCAGTGGGTTGCCATGGGCTACCGTATGTAGCCAGCAGCCAGCATGAGCGGCCAGCAGCCGCAGTGAGCAGCCGTCCAGAAGCCGGCTACTGATCTGCCTCGCCCGGGAAAAGAGCAACCATGGTGCCAATTTGGGCCATGAAACAACGTCCTCCACAATTAGACTGAAGAACAAAAGGACAGCAACTTGTCTGTTCCCCTTCCCCCAATTCCCCAGCGCTGTTCCCATCCCCTAATTCTCCAATAAAAATTTTAAAAAAAAAAAAAAGTAATACTTGGAGTTTGTTCTCATTACTTAGTTTTTAAAATATGTATAAAGAAGAATGAAAACACATACATTAAATCTACTTCCCCATCTTCATAATAAATATGTATTCACTGGAAAAGGAAGAATGAGGGGATAAGGTAACATGATTATTGGGGAAGGTCAGCCTAGAATGACCCAAAATTCTACCATGAAAATTACATTTGTGAAGGAGCAAATTCACTTTAGGGTTCCCAATGTCATCTGATTGATCATATACCTACTTTATCTGATTTATAATACAAGTCCATACATTTCTAACCTTTTCAGCCACTTCCTTCTTCTGTCCTAACCTGCTTACTTCTAGAAATTATCGTTGACATTATCATCTCACCTGGTAACATCTGGCAGGCGAAACTTTAGATATAAAACAACCCCTACAAATTGCTCTGCCAAGTAAAGTAGTTCATAATTTTTGTCAAGGTTCAAGGGGAGGCACACTGGAACCGCCTGGAGAAAAGAAAAGAAAACAAACAAACTGCACAGTTTACTGCTTGGTGTTTTTGTTAGATTATGCATCCTTTCTCTGGTTCCTTCCTAGTGTTGTCAAATGTACCTTTTGTGATGCACTAAAATAAATTAAGAAGACCTTGGTAATAATAAAGCAATATCTTTTACTACCTTGTATATAATCCATCAGTATAACATTCAAGAATATGTGTGTTTTAAAATCTTGTTCAATGTGTGTGGCCTCAGATTTTTGTCCTTAACATTTCCTTTGTAAATCTCAGTCTGAAACACAAACTTTGTCTTCTAGTAACAACATATATCCCCTTAACTAACTGGTACAGGTATGGTACTTCTATAAATTATATCTGAAAATGATTTTCATTTGGAGTCAGAAATAGGTGGGGAAGTTAATGTACCAACAAATAGCGCCTCATTCATTCACTCATTAATTATTAAGCAAAATTTTTCTGAGCAAAAATTGTGCTGTCTGGATAGCAAAGGGAATATTGCAAAACCTACATGGGGTAAATATAAATAAGATGTCATCTTAGTTTCCAAGGAAGCTACAAAAAAGTAATTTTTGAGTCATTAAACCTGATATCAAGCACTTTATTCCTAAGGATAAAAATAAACATTAAAATGGAAATCCTGTGTCAGCTGAGTGGCTCAGTTGGTTAAGAGCTCGCTCAAGAGTGCGAGATCTGAGCAATAGCGGTTCGATGCCCGGCCTGAGCTGACCTACCGTTAAGCTGCCAACAGATGGCAGGATGGCTCAGCTAAAAAGAAAAAAAAAAATGGAAATCCTGTTAGGGATAAATACTTGGGCATAGCTAGATATTGATATAGATATATACATATTTTGAAAGGACTCATGTGCATAGCAGTGTATTACATCAAGGTCCGGAAATAATATCTCATTTCCTCTTAGAACTTTAATCTAATCCAAGGTAGATAGTGATGTGTAACTACAACAAATACTGAAATAAGAGACTAAATTACAAAACAGACATTCACACAGCATGACATTTCAGTTAATTACTACCAAAGTTACTACATATGCCAACTAGCTTATGTTACCTCCCTTTACCAAGTAGGCAGCATAATGTTGAATGCTACATTTTTTTGGACATATAACAGCTTTGTCTTGATAATAAAGAGGTATATGTATACACATGATTAAATCATTATTATTTAGGATTTTTTTTCTTTTTACTGTTCCTCATAATCATATAAAATTTTACCTTCACTTGTAAAAAGTATAAGAGACGAAAGAATTGGACTAATGATCACTAACACATGATGCTTATTTAGGAAAAAAAATAACTTCAGAGGTTGATCTATTTATATCAATAAAGGGAAAACTAGAACCTACCCCCAACATTCAATTTCTGGGCTAATTATGTATTAAATCCTAGTAACTAAAACAAAGGTTGAGAGTTACAGATTAACAAAATCAACCTCTCTGAAATTTGATATACTTAAACACCACTACATCTTCTATCCTGACAAAGTTGTTTCTACCTAAGATTTTATGAGCACTCTTGCAAGTACTAACATGCCTAATCATACTTGTCAGAATGGTCAATAAAAAAAGTAGACATTAGGAAATGTTTTCACTAAAGTTTCTATGGAAGATTGTTTTCTCACAAAGAGGAGTAGTATAAACCTCAACTTTCCTTAAGTTTCTTAAATAAACATACATTTCGTAAATGTACACGCTACACAGGTGAGCACTCTCTGAACTGTAACGCTGCAGCCTTTTTTTTTTTTACCTAGGCACTAATTATTCCCAATCTTTATGACTTATATGACCATAATTAGTAAATAGATTGTGACTCATAGCCTACATAGAACTACAGCAATTATTGTAGAACATCTGTATTTTCCTGACTTACCTCAGCTATGTGGAAATAAGCACCAGGATCTCTTATTTTAGAAAAAGAGATGGGAAGTTTAGCATTGCAAAATGTTACCTCACAACTCTTCTGATCTGGGGCAAGTTTGAATCCTTTCTTCCCGTCACAATAACAAGAATAACCTCCAGGGTAATTGACACAAAGTTGAGCACACATGTTCTCCGAGCATTCATCCACATCTGGAGGAAAAGAGAAGATAAATCTTAGTCTCCTAAATGTTCAATCCAATAGAAGGAGTATTCTGATTTTAGTTTGAGACACCAACGATAATAGACCCTTAGTGAAAAAAATCTCTATGACATCAAATTACATTTAAACACTTGGCAAAGAAATTTAAATGAGTTACCAGTGTAATTTCCATTTATTTACACACCTGAAACAATAAATTTAATGTATAAATTTCACTAATTATAATGAATAAAAATATAACAATATACTATATAAAAATACAATAATTTTCTGATTTTGAGCTTGAAGGAAAAAAGACTGAGAGTCTCAAGTTAGTTGTCATTTGTGATTATGTAATTCCATCAAGACTACCTCCCAATTCTTTGCTTTAAAGAAAAGGAAGGAAAGTGAAGGGAGAAGGGAGTGGAGGGGAGAATAGGGAGATAAGGAACGTCCCTTTTAACTGAAGCTCAATGTAATTGAGGATTAAATGACAATATCAAAAACACCTGCCTTTTCATAGTGCAATGATTAGAGGTGGCAATAAATTTAAGGACATGTCTTTATTTCTTCCTAACTTACCTTAAAAAAAAACAACAAACATACAAACAAAAACCCTCACTATGGTATATTACCACCCATATTGTGAAATCTTCTATGTTGCCCCGTCCCCACTCCATATTTTGAAAAAATTATTCTTAAAGAGCTTTAACAATATGCTTCAGCTGAAGTCCACTTCAGAACTACTAAGATCCTTGACCTTTTCATTGAATGTATCCTGTGATACTTGAAAATTTCCAAAGTCCAAAGCGTTATTATAGCATATAAATTCCTCAACATTTAAAGTTCTTTAAAATAGAACCCCCAAATTAATGATCCCTCAATATCATTATAATTGAATGATATATGATTAAAGTAATAAAATATTATGTATGTCATGTAAATCTCTTTTTAAATATGTCATTCATTGTACAAAACTACAGTATAGATGATGAAGTTGTCTAGCTAATGATTAAATCTACAAACACTTAGGGCTTACCACAGTAATTTCTATCTGGAGTTGTGGGAGAGTAGATATGGTGTGTGTGTGTGGTGGGGGGGTTGGTGAGTGCATGAGGAAGTTAAGGCATCAAAATCTCAAGAGGAGTATATTTAGTTGAAAAAAACCCTATTCTAAAATTATTATTGATTTAGACAAATTCATAGAGACAGAAAGCAGGTTAGAGGTTACCAGGGGTGGGTAGAGGGAGAGGGGCAATATATTGCTAATGGTTATAGAGTTGTGTGTGGGGTGACGAAAAAGTTTTGAAACAGATAGTGGTAATGACTGAGTAATTATATGAAACTAATTAATTAATGCCACTGAATTGTACTCTTAAAAATGGTTAAAGGGGGACATTATATCTTTTTTTTTTTAAATTGGGGAATTGGGGGAGGGGAACAGTGTTGAGGAATTGGGGAAGGGGACCAGCCAAGTTGTTGTTCTTCAATCTTAGTTGTGGGGGGCGCCAGTCACCATCTGGCTGCCCCTCGGCAGCTGGTGGCCTCTAAGCTCAAGGTGCTGTATTACAATCTTAGTTGGGGGTTGGCGTAGCCACCATCCCATGCGGGAGTTGAACCGGCAGCCTTGTTGTTAAGAGCGCATGCTCTATCCACTGAGCCATCCGGGTGGCAGCTCAGCTCAAGGAAGGGGCACATTATATCTTATATATAGCTTGCCACAATAGAAAAAATACTATTGATTAGATTAGTTTTAGTCATAATATGAAATTCATTTTGAAATTTAAAAATTTACAGGAGAATATAAGATAATCTGTGTGTATCCATGATAAAAGCAAACAAAAAAAATCCCCTAATCTAAGCTACCTGAGGCAAACAAGGCAGCACCACTGCAGCCAAATGGACTAACAAGTCCAAGAGCTCGCTCTGATCCACAGGCACTGACATTACTAATCAGTACTTCTCTAATTCCTGGAGCTTACTTATCATTTGGTTATGATGAGATTTTTCTTTTATACGTATTTAATTATAACAAAACTATGTCATTTCTATTTTACAACAAATGACATACTGATATATGCACAGAAAATCACTGATAAACTTGGTATAAAATTGGTTTCTAACCAGCCTTGTAATACCCATTTGGTTTTCAAACTTGTCTTCCTTTTTGTTGTGTGTGTCTTTTTCCTTCCAGCTTGAAATTCTTTTATCTTTGAATATTATCTAAATGATGTGAAAATGAATTTATTTAGTTTTCATCAGACATGTGAGATCTCCAATCCATATGAGGCTGAGAGGGCCAATCGGAGCACATAATACTAAACCTAAAGACCATGTGTCTTCTATACTTCTACTCTCCAAGGAAGCCAATGACTACCCAATTGACCTAACTATATCATGGACTTTACCATCTTAGAAAATCAAATTGTTGATATCAAACAGAACCACTGCTTCTAGTATCAAGTCAGGGTTCAAACCCACCCTCTCCACCATCAGCAATGACACCACCACAACTCTACCTGCACAAGACTTTGATGTGGGATCATATCTGTAGCCTTCAGGGCATTCACATTCAAAGTCTCCTGGAATGTTCTTGCACACAGCTGTGCCACAAATGTCTGGCTTCACAAAACATTCATCCACATCTATAAATGAACCAATATATTAAAAAACATTTTTCCCATACCAGAAAAGGCTAGCAAAGAACACTTAATGTGTTTCTTGGATCTAGTTTAATATATGAAATAAGACAGCAGAATACCTGAGAATAACAAAATATTAAATCTATCATCATGTTTTAGTTCACTTCAATATGATTTCGTTATACAAATGCAGAGAATTTGATTGATGTTTCCCATGTTCCTTTGTAGTTATGTAAAAGAAAGGAAAGGCTTAAGCTTTTTGGCTTTTTTTAATCTACCAGGTTATAGTATGAAAATAAATGGGATAAGAGATTCACCATATTCTTATTATGTGTTCCTAAATACATATTTCTGAAATATAGTCTTAAAAGTATATTCATTTTGTATTATCACAAATACTAAAAATAAATAAAAATGAAATGGCTCATCAGTCTTACATTTTTCCCTTGGAAATGGACAATAGCTAAAACTACATACCACTATTGTTGCCTAAAGTATTCAAGAGTGATTAAAACGTAAAAAGAGATTGAGTAAGGTTTCAAAGTATTTATTAAATTGCAGTTAATATTATATAAATTTTAGTGGTAAATTAATATTCCTAAAATTTTAGATGTATTCACTATATTGCATGGTAGAGTAGGAGACAAAGTATTGATCGCTACTAGTTACTAGATAAGCACCTGTGGAAAAAACATAACGTGACAGAAGTAGTTCAATGGAGAGCTAATTATTAGTGAATTTTTCTCATTTGTACTCTCTGGAGAAAGGCAAGTTCAGAAGGGAAAACATATTTTCTACTCTAAAAAGTTAGGCGTTTAATTTTTCCAGACTAATAGCCAAAATTTCAGACATTATTCTATTTAAAATGACATACACAAAAATAAGAGAATCAATCCCTGTGATAAAGGAATTTTTCTGTATCTTAATTGTATACTGACACTGGGTGTGATAATGTACTATAGTTGGTAAAATGTTATTCTTTGCTGAAAACTGGGTAAAGGGTACATGGGATCTCTTTGTATTACTTCTTAAAACAGCATGTAAATCTACAATTACTTCAAAATAAAATATTTAATATTTTTAAAAGAACTATAAAATCTTTTAAAAGAAAGTAAAAACATATGCCTAAATTATTTGGTCTGAGGCAAGGAATTATTTAAATCATATGAGTTCAGGTTATAGAGCACATTGATTTTGATTTTATGACTCTACACTGACATCTAATGACTGATGAAAAGTTTTATTCTTGCATTTTTAGACATTTACTGGCAACTTGATTTCAAACATATCTCCATCTTGGCAAAGGCCTTGCTGTGATCGTTGTGTACATATTCTTCTAGTAGTTCTGTGCTCTATTACTTAGGCATCATGGAATAAAAGCTATGTAAATGAAATATACAAGACCATATGTTCTGGTCATCTGGGACATTTTTATTTATAAAAGTACTTTTTGTAATAATTTACATATACATGTATAAATTCAATGGATAAGTATTAAATGCTTATTAAGTAAAAGTATAAGTCACAAATACTTTAGAAGAACAGACTATTCAAGTATTTAAATGTAGAAGTATGAATGGGTATTATTTGCTTACGGGATACATATGGTATCGTGCATTAGGATGGTTTTTGATAACTGATGTTCTAATGATATGAGTATTCTAAATTTCTAACCCCAAAAATACCTTCAAACAGGTAAATGAGAAAGATATATGGTCACAAATTAGGTATGTGTTTAGAAGAAATTGTTAGTTAATACAGTTCACGTTAGTCATTTAGCTGCCTTTAAATAATATAGTAACCTATACTAACTAAACACCTACAAAGCAGTGAGGGACAGACCATTTCTTAAATCTAATTGAATTTTGGGATTTACCAAAGCAGATATGAATGGAGTTGAATGAGAAAACTTTACATTTTAACTTACTAAATTTTTTCTATCTTGTAGAAAGAAGAAAATGATGAGCAGGAGAAAAAGACAGTCATCCACACACCCAGCACTTATATTTAAAGGCTGAGTTATGGTAGTTACAGTAGATTAATGGAAAAGGCATTATGCAGAGAGACAGAAGTCAACATTTAGGGAAAGGAGAAGCACAAAGAAAAATAAAAGAAATACACTAGTAAAACGACTGTTAGGAAGCTGAATTGATAGGAATGATTTAAGTCTGAAATTAAAAAAAAAAAGTTATGATCAAGGATGCGATCTTAGATGTACAGAAGGAAAGAAAACTAGATTTCCATTTTTCCAAAACCACAAAAGGAAATGAGGTGCAAGATGAGGGCTTTATTTTGGAGAGGTATTACTGACAATAAAATAAACTGGAAGAAGTTATTAAGGATTGTGCTGGAATTTTTTGTATAGTTTTTTATCTTATCGATATGTAAGAAATGATATTATAGTGCCTGAAAAAAAGTATAAACATTGATTTTGCAAACCCTGTAGTATGCAAGGACTTGCAGTGAAACTTCACTTTATCACCATATAATGAAATTCTTCATTAAAACATGCTCATGTGTGTGCACACGCATATATAAACAATAAGAAATTACACACAAAATGAAATACTCTATCAATAATAAAATACCCTATAAACAACAAATTAAAAGGCAGTCCCATAATATCACAAGGCTTTAATAATATATATTTATTATAACTTACAACCAAAGAGTTTTCCAAGAATTTCCTGAGGAAATTTCTCTAGATTTTGCTCTCACGCAGTAAATACGTTTTTATTCTGCCTTTTTATTCTCTTACCTCTGCAGTCCTTTTTATTTGAAAGCATAATAAAACCACTTTTACAGGAACAGTGGTAACTCCCAGGTGTATTGACACAAATCTGACTGCAAAGTCCATTCTTATTTGAGGGATTTTCGCATTCATTTATATCTAAAAAGGGGGGACATAAATTATTTTTAAAAGTGATAAAGCCTTCAGAAAACTTTACAGGTCAATCCAGGTAAGCCAGGTGGGTTTCTTATACATACCAAATTCACACTTGTCTCCTCGCCAACCTGGTCTACAAATGCAAGTAAATGAAGCTTGGCCATCTTTGCAGCTCCAATATCCATCTTTGTTGCATGGCAGAGGATCACACTGGTCAGGAATGGCTGAAGGAAATAGACATCTATTTAATTCTTACCACATGCCATGGTAAATAAAATTATATGTCCTTTAATAGACATCCAGTGCATGAAGCCTATAATCAATTAAAAATAACTGTAACTCCTTCCTTCAAATAATACTTTTTCATGAAGAAGTGAGTCCATTGACAAACCTTTATAAAATTATTTTGCAAAAGGAAACTACTTTTATATTTGCAAATATATACAGTATTTTATAACTCTAATTTAGATATTTTTTCATATATATTACCTTATTTGACCCTTCGAACAATTCCATGAGATGTGCAGAACAAATACAATTACTCTCAACATCAAAACAGAAAAAAACTGGGACTTCCAAATTGGGCTAACATGGAGTAACCGGGACCAGATTTATCCTCCTGCTTAAATACATAGAACTCTGGTCAAAATACATGAAACAATGGTTTTCAGATGTTGGACAATAGGTAGCAGAGTACTATGATTCTTAGAGGAGGAACATTTTCTTCATGAAATGTCACAGCACTTTATCACCATCTTAAATGATATGCCCATTTGTTTCTTTACTCCTTTGTGGTTTCTTTCTCTTCACTAGACAATGCAGTGGACCTTGGTTCCTACACATGCCCACACCTGCTTCTCAAGTCTTTTTAGTCAACTCTGTGAGTTCCTTCAATCCTTCCAGTACATTCTCCTCTGCTTCAGTTAGCCAGAGGAAATCTCTGTTACTTGCAAAAACAAACAAACAAACAAAAACCTAACTACCAAAATTTTCCAAAACAATGAACACAATCAAGTTTTAGTTTTGAAAAGTAGTAATCAATTAGGTATTACTTAAAGTGATAGAAAGACTAATCAGGAAATCGTTATCAAATTATTTCCCTGGTCTTTGATAAATTAAAAAACGATAAAGTATGATTTAAATATACGTGTTCAGTCCAACTTATGTAATTATAACCAACTTGAAATTAGAGAAAACTCAGACAAATATTTGGATATTACTAATGCTGCATGTAAAATATTCACTGGACAAACATTCCAATTTATATCTTACAATTTCACCTTCTTTCTGACTCCCAGTTGAGAAATTGGTAAATCAGAGACAAACAACCTACCAGAATTATCACTAGCCCCTATGTGAACTTCAGAGGGAGAAGGCTAATTTGATACCATAATATTTTCCACATTTAAGCTATTGATGCCAAAAGTTAAAAGAATAAACATGGCTCCACTTTGACCTATTAATCAACTGTAACATTTAGTCATACTGCATGATTATGCAACAACAGCCAAAATAAAGCTGTAGGGAATAAAATTCTGAAGTCAATGACCTAAAGCTTAGTAAACAAGGCACACTGTTCAATTTAAATGTTCGGTGGAAAATTCATTTTGAGTAAAACGGCAGCGTTGACATCTGAAAAACATTCTTTCAAATGCATTTTGAGGATACCTCATTGCTGGGCATACCCTTCCAGGGTTCATTTGTTGATTTTTAAACAGTAGCTATATTTACATGGGTGTACTTTACTTGCATGTTTTAGTTTCCTTTTGTTTTTAAATTGATTGTAGAGGTCGTTTACCATTGACACAGCTCCTTAGGTCAGAGTTAGCTTTAGTTGACTCATGTGCAGCACTAAATAATCCAATGCGGAAAGAGCTAAGACAACCTGTTAATACAAACAAATATCATCCTTTTAGAGTAAACATGCTTACTTGATCTGAAATCATGGTAGAAATTATCCAAAGAGGTACAATATTTATGCTCCTGTGGATTCAGCATTCAAAGCAAGATTGCAAAAATACTGAATCATGAAAAACAGTTTTATGGAAGCTTCTCTTTGGAGAAGAAAAAACTTTAAAGCCAGAAGTGAAAAAGACGTTGGATTAGCAGAGAAATTTATTGTTACATATGTCTACGTTCTTAATTCTTTAGCAGAGACCTAAAGTTATTCTGTAACCTGTAGACCAGAGCCTGCTTTAGAAAGTGTCTATAATTAAGTCAATAGAATGAGTTAATGTTTCTGGTTACTGTAGACAACTTCCAATTCTTCCAATGTTGCATAGAGACTAATATAGTAATATTTGCATAATGCCTCAATATTACAAAGCAAAGCAGATTTATTGCATTCATTTTATTCCTTACTACATACAGCTCTATGAAATTACTGGGTTGTCGGAAAAGTCATGATGCATTTTTGCAACGAAAAACATAGAAAAAATACATCACGACTTTTCCGACAACCCAATAGATATAGCAATCTGGCAGAAATAACAGCTAAACCAATAATAAAATACTTACAGACTTTAAAGTAATTAGGGGTTATTATTGTCAACAATGTAACATTTCTTAATAGCCACTGAAGACAACGTTATATATATCACTTCACTGTGCAGTCACTAATTTAGTAAAAAGGTGGATTTGATTATCTTTTGCTGAGTAACAAACAAACCCCAAAATTAATAGCTTAAAATAGTTATTCCATTTTGCTCACGATTTATGGGTCAAATATTTGGAAAGGGCTGAGTTGGGCTGTTTGTCTCTGTTGCACATACTGGAGGGCCCTCCTCCAAGATGGCTTTTCATTCACATGTCTAATATTTGGTAAGTCATGTTGCAGGGCTTCTCCCTGTTGCTGAGTTTCTCTTAGCATGCTTCTTTCATGGTGGCTAGCTTCCAAGAAGAAAAAAACAGAAGCTGCCAGGCGAGTCAGGAGGCACTTTGTGACTTGCACCATATTCTGTTGATCAAAGTGGTCCCAGGTTCCACCAAGATTCAAGGAAGAGGTGGCAAGCTCAGATTCCATGTAACGAATGGGAAGCAGCAAGATGATATTGTGGAAGGGTATGTGAGATACGAGATAGTTTTGCAGTCATCTTTGGAAAATAAAATGTATCACAGATGCATTCAAAGGCTCATTTGGAGTCAGTGTGGGTATTAGTTTCCTATTGCTGCTGTGACAAATTACCACAATCTTACTGGCTTAAAACAACACAAGTTTATTCTCTTACAGTTATAGGGATCAGAAGTATAAAATTAAGGTGTCAGCAGGGCTGCATTCCTTCTGGAGACTTCAAGGGAGAATCTATTTCCTTTCTTTTTTCAGCTTCTAGAAACCACCTGCATTCCTTGGCTCGTGGACCCCTTCTTACATTACTCCCAACTTTTGCTTTTGCTTCACTGTCTTATAACCTACTACCAACTCTGATCTCCTACCTCCCTTGTGTAAGCCCCCTTATGCTTACATTGGGCCCACTCAGATAATCCACAATAACGTCCCCATCTGCAGATCCTTAATTTAATTTTCAAAGTCCCTTTTTCCATATAAGGTAACATTCACAAGTTTTACGGAGTAGGACATAAACACCTTTGGGGGAGTCATTGCTCAGCCTACCACAGTGGATTAGAATATTTTCCCACAGAAACAACACCTTATATCATGATGGTCTTTCTGGAGAACAAATGAGGCCTAAGCAATTTTAGGTCTTGAATATTCTTTCTCCAGGTTAATTTGTCCCTCAGCCTGAATCACTGAATCCCAGAACTAGCTCATTCTAATGTAGATATTGTATTAGGATCCTCCTTTGTGAGAAAGCCTCATTTTGTACCTCTAGACAAATTGAACAGTGAATAGAGCCAGATTTTGAAATACCCTAGGTTGGAGGTCCAGGTGAAATGTTTCATATGGTGATTAGGACCCCGGGGCTAGACTACAAAGTATTGTAGATTTAACTCATACTGCGCCTTACATACAAATCTATACTCATATATGTGATAATGTTTTTAGGTAACATGCATTTAGAATTAGTGTGAAGAGCCAGCTGCATGGCTACCCCAAAGCTGCAATAGAGAGCCCTCACATTCCTACTTCTTAATGCACAACAGGAACGAGGAAAGTTGAGAATAGGAAAGTGAGAGTTAAAAAGAAAGTTTGTCCCAGCTTTCGGAGCCCAAAACAGAGGCTCTTGTAAGAAATGGGAATAGAAACAGACAATAGTGCCATCAGGGAGGAAAGCCTATGTAAAAGACACTTTGATTCTAGTAGTCAGAATAGAACATTCTAGAAAGATATCTTGGTTCTAGGCCAGGGGTCCGCAAACTTTTGAGACAGAAAAGCCGCCAGGGGTCAGCAAACTGCAACTCGCGAACTGTGGCTCTGAAGTAAAATTGAAAATGAAAATAAAACTATCATAGTTTCATTTATAAAATTTTTATAGCATAGTATTCACATAAGGGTGATTATGTAAACATTTATTTATGGCTCTCGAATAACTTTTAAATTGTTGTGAGGGACAAGATTGGCTCTTCCAGGGGTCGGCAAACTTTTGAGACAGAACGTACCCAAAGAGCCACATGTGGCTCGCGAGCCGCAGTTTGCCGACCCCTGCTCTAGGCTATGACAGTTCCTACACACACTATTTATATACTTTTTTTCCTCATGAATCTTGTTAGGGATCAAACCACTTGATTTCCTTTTACCACTTGCTGTAGGCCCTACTGTCCTACCTGTCTTGATCTGTCAATTCTAAAAAATGGTTTAAACAGCCATTGCTACTTCAAGTAAGGTTGTATTGGGATTAAAGTAGAGCCAGAATATGGCAAATTTTTCTTTTCTCTGGAAACTACTTTACAGCCCTCCGTCTTTACATCACAAAAGAGGCTAGCTACCACATAAAAGTCTAAAAGTTTGTTTGTTTTCACTTCAGGAGTGAGAGGCCAAGTTATTCATACACCCCCTCTGATGATATATTATTATTATTGGTCTTTGAAAAACCCGTTGCTTGATGCTTTTTAAAATACACTCACACACAGACACACACACACACAGACACACACACGAGGTCAGAGAATTAAGTTCAGGAATTCAACCTAGAAAAAGTACTACATGCCTTATTGCTGAATATCACTATGGTCACTTTCGAAGTATTCCCCTTGGGAAGCTATGCACCAACGCCAGCGCCTAGCCCACCTTTCAGAGCAATTTTGGAACTCTTTTCCTGGAATGGCCATCAGAGCTGTCCTCGTATTACCCTTGATGTCCTGGATGTCATCAAAATGTCTTCCTTTCAATATTTCCTTTATCTTTTGGTAAACAAAGACATCACTGGGGGCCAGATCAGGTGAGTAGGGAGGGTGTTCCAATACAGTTATTTGCTTACTGGTTAAAAACTCCTTTACAGACAGTGCAGTGTGAGCTGGTGAATTGTCGTGATTCAAGAGCCATGAATTGTTGGCAAAAAGTTCAGGCCATCTAACTTTTTCACACAACCTTTTCAGCACTTCCAAATAGTAAATCTGGTTAACTGTTTATCCAGTTGGTACAAATTCATAATGAATAATCCCTGCAATATCAAAAAAGGTTAGCAACATTGTTTTGACTCTTGATTTGGACTGACAGAGCTTTTCTGGTCGTGGAGAATTGGCTCACTTCCATTGTGCACTTTGACACTTTGTTTCAGGATCGTATTGATACACCTATGTTTCATCACCAGTGATAACACGGCCCAAAACATCGTCTTGACTCTCCAAAAGGTCTTGGCGAATTTCGACTCTCCTTTGCTTTTGTCCATCAGTGAGCTCCTTTGGGATCATTTTTGCACACGTTTCTCATGTCAAGATTTTCAGTTAAGATTTTCCTAACTGTTTCTCTATTAATGTGTACTTGGTCTGCTATGCTTCTCACAGTCAGCTGATTATTTTGACACACAATTCGATGAATTTTTGCAATGTTTTCTTTAGTTCTGCTCATTACTGGCCGCCCTGATCTCTCTTCATCAGTGATGCAGAGAAACGTTTAATCCACTTGTATACTACCATTTTCTTCATGGCATTATCCCCATAAACTTGGATTAACATGTCCTTGATTTCACTTTCACTCTTGCCAAGTTTAACAAGAAATTTAATGTTTGTTCACTGCTCTAATTCAAACACAGACATTCTTGTGACAGCACACAAAAACACGCAACAACAATATAGAACGCCATTCAGCAAGACACTGCCACATGTTGACACGAACACAGCTGTGAGACACTGATATACCAAGGCTATGAAACCTTACTGAGTTGTTTGTACGGTGCTGCCAATGTAAGTGCACGGTGGCAAGTTTGCGAACTTAATTGTCAGACCTCATACGTGAGTCTGTCTCTGAACTCTTTGTTAAATTCATTAGTCTACATGTCCTTCTGACAATAGCATATGGCTTTCTTTCTATAGCTCTGTATTGTTGATATTTGATGAAATGTTTCTTCCTTTTACATTTTTAAGGTTTATTTAGGACTTTTATTCTCTGATTTAAATACTAGCAAAGTTACTGAATTCCTTTTTTAAAAATCCTGCTGAAATTTTAAACAGAATTGCTCTGAATATATAGATTAATTGATCTTATAGCATCACTCAATTCAAGATCATGAAATATCTTTCCATGATTTCAGTTCATCTTCTACATCCTTAATTTGAGTTCTAAATTGTTCTCTATAGAGAGGTCTTATACATTCTTAAGATATGTCGAGATACTCTATGGGATTTGCTGCTATTGTGGATGGTATCAACTTTCATTTTCTACTGGACTATCATTTGTGTATAAAATTACTACTGATTTATATGGAGTAGCTTTAGAACTATCTAAAATCTCTTATGTATTCTAATATTTTGTCTATGACTATTTTTTTA